ATATTTATAATTTTATATATTTTTATATATTTTATATAATTTTATATATTTTTATTATATAATTAATATAATTTTCTAAATTAATATAAATTTTTCAACGTAATTTTATTAAAAAAATTATATAATTATTAAATATTTTATAAAAAATATTTAGATAAATTGATTAATGCATTTAAAATTGTCCATTTAAAAATTTTAAATCTTTTCACTATTCAGCCAAATATAAAAAATTGTTTGTATGATATATTATCTCTTTTTACCAAACGACTTTTATTAAAACATTTTTTTGATCATTATAATCTCTTGTAAGATATTTAACCATGTTTAATTAAACGAAATATTTTCTTATTATTTTTTATGATCTTCTTATTAATTTTTAACTCACAATGAATATACATTAATATTTAAATATCATAATTTGCAAAATTAATGCTTTACATATTTATTCATTGTTGAATTAATTATTTTCTAATATATTAGAAGTACGCATTATATTTAACGGAAATATAAATTTTATTTATTTAATATATATATTTTTTTTTCTTTAATAGCGATAAGCGATAAATGAAATATAAATGAAATAATATAGCAAAAATTATATGTATAGCAAATATTATATATAGCAAAAGTATTCAATAAATATAGCAAAAAATTATTCGAAAAAAGTTTTTCAAACTTATTTCAATAGCAATTTTATATAAAAGTTATATAAAAATTATTTATAATAATTAAATATATAATTATTTATATAAATTTATATAAAAATTAAATAATGTGTTTAATATTTTTTCTTTTACATGTTTATATTTATATTTATATACAATTTATATTAAAAATTATTTTTTATTGATAGAATGGACTCTATATTTTATTTCTATTTTAGATAAATTTTTTATTTTCTTTTAATATTTTTTTTTATTTTTTTTTTTTATATATTAGTAATTCAATTTATTGCATAAGAATATTTATGCAATTACACAAAATTTTTTATTTTAATTTAATAACATATATTTGTAATGTATCCAATTATTCTCATAAATTAAAATTGCATTTTTTTTTTATAATGTTCAGATCATAAATAAAAAATTTATAAATAATTTTTTCAAAATTAAAAAATAAATTGCAGAAAAATACAATTTTAATTTGCGAAAATATTGCAAATATATGTTATCAAATTAAGATAAGAATTTTGTATGATCGTATAACTACTTTTATACAATAAATTGAAATCGAATATAAAAAAAAATAATATGTATTGAAGAAAAATAATATCATTTAAAATAGAAATAAAACATAAAATCCATTATCAACAAAAAATAATTTTCAATATATTAAACTGTTTAAAATGTTTCATAAAAAAAGGGAATATTAAATACAATATTAAATTTTTGTAAAAAAATTGTTATTTAAATTAATATAAATTTTTTAAGTATCCGAATACTTTTTAATATTAAATTTTACCATTATTTCATTTAATACTTATTATATAAAAATTATGTGCATTAAATAAATAAAATTTATATGTGTTCAACTAATTTAATGTTTTCACTAATTACAAATAATTTAATATAAAAGAAATCGATTTATTAAATTACAATCAATTATTTTAATTATATTAATTATAATAAATTACAAATTTAGATTAATTTAATTACAACAAAAAGATATATATATATACACACACACACATAGATTAATAATTTCTTGCAAATCGCAATATTCGAATATTAATTCGAGTCATTGAAAATATTTCATTGCTATGAAACTTTTTAATGAATTAAAGAACTCAAATATGTTTTTTAAAAATTTATGCGAATAATTAAATTTTTAATAGTTCGCAAAAATAATCGGAATATTATTTTAAATATTTATGTTATCTGAAAATTCTGATTTGAATGAATTTGTATATATAAAATATATATAAAAAATAAGTATATATAATCATGACTAATATAGTATGATTCTATATTTATGTACAATTTGAATTGATAGAGATTTGTTAAAAAAAAATTTGTCGCAAAATTAATCTTGATCTTGAAATTCAAAATCAAATTTCTTTTTTATTCGTAGCAATTATGAATTGAAAATAAAGATGATTGAACACGGAAATAAAATAACAAAAACATCTGCGAAACGAATTTATTAGAAACTTCGGAATTTATTACTCCGGTCACAACTAATGTCTCTTTTTAAATGTAGAAAATGAAGCAATTTGCCAAAAAATAGAATGGGTTCGTATATAATGTGAAAAGAATCTAGTTTTTCTTTTTTTTGATGTATTTTCGCTTCATTGTTCATGAGCACAAAGAAAAAAAAGAATACTGTTGTGGCCTATTAATATTATTGTGTAGATAGTATTTTGGATTTTTTCCAATAATTATTCGGCGCTTATTCCAATATAAAATATGTAATATCTACATGCTGTGATAAATACTATTTTTCTTGATTCATCAAAGAATTATAAATGGATTTTAAACAAATAATGCGAATATATTATTGAATTAAATAATGAATTATAAATAAAATGAATTAATTATAAATAAAATGAAAACTAATAAAAATTTAATTCTTTTTCTTTCAAAAGAATGATTGAAATGTAAATCGTGATTCTTTTGAAATTTTTTATTTTTGCAATAAGTAGAATATGATACAAAAAAAAATTATTTTTGAATTTCATGTTCAAGATCATTTTTGCACACACTTTTATTTTCACAGATCTTCATTAATTTAAAAATAAAATTAAAATCATACTATAATGCTCTTTACATTTATTTTTTATATATTCTTATATACATGAAATGTAATAAGTCAGACATGAAACATTATTTTTTGTTGATAATTCTTTTTAATCAGTTAAAATCAATTTCCAAAGTTTTACTATCTCTTCGTGTATTAATAGAATTTTTTTTTATAACAGGTTAATAAAAAAAATAAACAGATAAATTCTGAACCACATAAAATTTTCTATTTAAGCTTATTTAGTAGAATTATATTTAAAAAATGAAAAAAACTACTTTATATTTCAATTCCCTTAATATTCTGCTAAAAAAAATTGCTATATTTTATATATATATATATAAATTTGCATGAAATTTTAAATATGTATATAAAATCCTTATTTTTATTTTTTTTAATGTATTTTTCTAACAAGAGAATCTATTTTTACAAAAAAAATATTGCATTATTTTTTTTCATTTTTTAATAGCAATTAGAATTATTAAGAGTTACAATTGGCTCTTATAATTCCACATACTCTCATTTAATTTGCTAATAATATTTAAATAAATAATATTTTTAACAATATTTCAATTGTTCTGATATATATATACTTTCTTAAAATACTTTCTTTTAAAATACTTTCAAATTATTTCAATTATAATTGGATCATAAAATACAATACACAAGAACTTATTATTTTTCTTGTCTCTTTCAATTTTTTGAATAATATTAAAATATATTAGAGAAATATATAGTTTCAATAATTTTACTATTTATTATTTTAATAATAATATTAATATTTTGTTTTAACAATATTCTTAAAGAAATTTTTGTTTCCTATTAAAATAAATAAAAATTCATGTTTTCTATCACTATATATATTAATATTTTTTCTTATCAGCTACCAAATTTATTTTTTATTTTATTTTATTAAACTTGATCATAATTAAGAATATTTTATATTTCATAGTATATCAAGATTCATTCATATATTTTATAGTATATCAAGATTATTATTATTATTATATATATCTTTATTTTAAATTAATTTAATTAATATTAATTTAATTAATTATATTAAATTAATTTACTATTATAATTTAATATTAATTTAATTTTAAAATATTAATATTAAAATTATATTAAAATTTTTAATATTATTTATTTAACTATACCTGCATAGCATTAGGTGAAAAAGTCACTTGTGTTGAACCTCCACCGAGATCTAATGCAGCAACTGTATTACCAGGACTATGTGTATTAAAACGTTCCAGTAGAAAATTTACAGTGAACCAAGAGAATATACCTTCATCTGTCCCATCCATTATAGAAATTGAATTTTTAGATATCTAAAATATATATATGTATATATATACATAATAAATATCTATTTAAATAGCAAAAAAGCATTTTTTTATCTTACATTTAAATTTTTAAATTTTAATAATGAAACGTATATATAAAAACTTAATATATATAAGCAATATATATATATATTCAGTTTGAAATAATGTGCATAATTTTGAAATACTTTTGATAATATAAGAAAAAAATAAAAAATTTGATCTGCTTCAAATTAATTATAAATTACAATTCTTAAAATCTTAAAATCTCTCTAAAAAAAATGCTTTTTTATATAAAAAATCAAGATCACTTTGAAATTATATATATAATGTAATATAATGTAATGTATATAATGCAAACAAAGATATAATATATTTTTGATTTCATAGTTGATGAAAACAATGATGATAATATTATGATCTTTAGATTTTAATTTTAAATTCATAAATTTTAAATATATAAAATTTGATTTAATACAGTATAGTACAGTATAATACAGTATATTATATACAGTATATATTAAATCAAATATTTATAATAAATATTTATAATTTCTATTGTTTATATATATTGTAATTTCTTAAACATTATTCAAAATTATCCGTTATAATGTATTATGAAATCAATTTTCATGTTAATATTTATATACTATTATGAATCAATGAATTTAAGATTTGAAATGATGATCATCCAAAAATCATAGTATTATATTATTTAAAAAAAGTTAAAATAAACTTGATTTTTTGTAGAAAAAATATTTTTTTGAAATTTTAAATAACAATTTGTAATTGTTTCAAAATAATCACAAATTTCATTTGAAATATATTTGAAAGATATTTTTTTAAATTATCAGAAATGTTTCAAAAATCATACATTTTGTTCAATATTTTGTATAAAATATCGAATTATTTTTTCAAAATTATATATTACTTAAAAAAAAAGTTTTTTAAATATATAAGGAAATTATAATATTATATACAATATTATAATATTATATATACAATATTCCTTACACATTTAATATTT